TACAATTTTATAAGAACAGGAATGAATCATTTTGTGGGTGTTCCACAGATGAAGCAAGGCTCATTCATCTATAACATCGCTGCTTGAGGACAAGCCACAAGCGAACAACGTAATTAGTATTAACCGTAGAATTGTGATAGCGGTCCTCGTTAATTTGCTCACGTGTGCCAGCGTTGCTATTACTGGTTACATTTTATGGCTTCCGTTATGAGTTGGACCTGAGGGATTCATTTATCATATATCTTTTACACAGTTCTCGCAAGCGTTCTGCAGATCAGCTCCCAGAATCAAGGACCAGTATAGCACGTAAAGAGATGTGTGTGTATTTAACAACGCGCAAAGTACAGCGGAGATGAGATTAAAAATCTGGAACCTTACTGAACACGTTTTAGTATTTTAAGTTGCTGTGTTCTTATCTTGTATCGTTCCTCAGAATTTACAGAAGCAATATACACGCTTTTAGTGCTTGGCATTTTGATATTACTCAACTATACTTTTAAAAATGATAGTAATTTTTTTTAGGGATAGGTCAGAAATAGCTCCACACATTTGGAAAACTCTAACTGTATCATCCGTAGAAGAAATAGGGCGGGAAAGAGGAAAAACATGTATAAACATCAAATTTCCTTTTCATATATTGTTAATGCCAAACTATGCCACTTCTGGTACTCCATTTAACAAAATTTTCGTACAAGATTCGGTAGAAAATCTACTAGAAGGAATTTTGTTAGGAATGCCACGAAACTTTGTTGAAACTGGGTGCAGAAGATATGTAAGCGATAACACCGTTTAACGCAGTAGCCGTATCTAAATGATATAAACTCTAATCTAGGTTCTTATCTATCTGAAAATGTTACTGTTTGTTCTATGTCATAAACAATCAACATTTACAAACCTTCGAAAATATGAAACTACTTTCGACTTATCCTGTATTCTGGAATTATCTGTAAGTTTCTTTCTGGTTTTTCCTTGTGAGATCCAGTTATCGTGAATGAAGATTCGATGTATAGCAAATTTAATTGAAATCGAACGCTAGTTTGCTCTTGTCTTGTAAACAGAGACATGAACACATCGCTTTCAAAGGCAGTCTTTCGTTTGGCCTTATCATTTTTTTTGGATTTAGTCGCCAGTGAATCGAATCACGTAAAACATGTTCGAACCTAAATGAAGAAATTCGCGCACAGTCAGGTTCCTCATTGATACCTTGACTGTGGTCCCGAGCTATGAAACTTGTGCGAAGCCAGAGAATTCTCTGTTGATATTTCTTGCCTCCGACAGGCTGAGATAAGAATGACGAGACCGTTTTAGAGTTCCTCAGTGGAATTAAACCGGAGATGAAGTATCAAGATAAAGGGGGAACCATAATACTCACTAAATTATTCTGTCACCAAAACTGAAGTAAAGTTTAGAGATGTGAGTAGTGTAGAGAATCAGGTGGAAAGAGGTTGAAAGAAAGATAAAAGAGGAAAGGAAGGAAAGAACAGGAAACACACTAATGAATCAGATACAAAAAGGGACTAATATATTCGGTGGCAGCATCAAACACCTGTGAAACGTCGGCAAGCGTCTACAGACTACACGATGCTACATACCAGAAACGTCATCTTCATACTCGCCGACTTAAGAACCTGGAATATTTCTTTAAATTAAGCCTCGAGAATTTCCTTTCATATCGTTTTCGAATAGTTCATCCTGTTATTTGATGATATGTAGTTAGAAGTGATGAGTGTCGCTAAATAAACAACAGACGAATAACTAAAACACGGATACAAACACTTGATAGACATTTAGCTATGAAGATGGTTATATTCTTCCTCCATTATCAAGATGATTATGGATGTTGTAAGTTCCTCCGAAACGTCTGTTAGTATCTACCAGACTACAGAACGCTAAATTCTAAAAGGCATCCACTATCTTCACATTCGCCGTGAGGACGTCAAATTTCAACATTTAATTATATTAAATGGAGCCGGTATTAAAAGTCTGAATATTATGTAGGCTTCTTTTATTTTTATTAGTTACGTAAATATTGTATTCAGGAAGTCTCCTTACTGTAAACTGACAGTAGCTAGTAGATACTGTGGATTGTCCCATTAGGCTCTGCAATTT